CCAGGAAGAGCCTGCCTAGCACTCTGGTGCAGGAGGAGCCCACTGGATATCTGGGAGGGGTCCCCCCCTGGACTCTTGCTAAGGCTGAGCCAGCCATCCAAGGTCACAGCCTCGTGATGTCTTAGAGGAGCCTGACAACCTTGTGGTCCAAGGAGCCTCTCTTACCTTGCTAAGGATGTGTCTGCATCACGCCTATCTTTCGGCTTTTTGTGGCATGAGTATCAAGAGCGCCCCCTGCCGCTCTCAGCTCTCAAAGGGTGATCCACAAGCACAGCCGCGGGGAGGATCTCACACAATGAGAAGACCAATCGGCAAGGAGCGCAGGGCTCTGAGTTAGGAGAGCCCTATGTCAGGTAGGATTGACTTATTTTTTCTCCTCCACTCCCCTGTACCGGGAATCGAACTCACGACCTAGCGCTTGCCAGGCAGGCGCTGTGGCAATGAGCTAAATCCCCAGCTCCTATTTTTTCTTTTAATTTTCAGACAGGGTCTTGCTAAACTGCCCAGGCTAGCCTCAAAGTTGCAGTTGTCCTGCCTCAGCCTTCCAGACTTTGGGGATTACAGGCTTGCACCACCACACCCGGCCCACAGTCTTAATTTCACACGTTTTATCATATACATAATAAACACACTCTTACATGTCATACTGTGTATGATTCAAATACTTTAGGCTTAATATACTAATGTCCTCTTGGTATACCTCAAGCTTTGGCCCTTGCCTGGATCTTATTTATATCTCAGTGATTTGGAGGTTTATAGAATTCCAGAATTAGGCTGGAAATATAGCTCAGTGGCACAAGCGCCTGCCTGGCAAGTGCAAGGTCCTGAGTTCGATTCCTGGTACCAACCCCTCCCCCCAAAAAAATCTAGAATTGCAGAATTAGGCATCTGCTACCCAGGAAGATAAGGCAGGAAAATTCCTTGAATCTAGGGTCCAAAGGCAGCCTGGCGGATATCGAGAACCACCCCGCTTAAAACACAAACAATTCCAGAATTATATGACAGAAGTGGCACACAAATAACATCTGGCTGTTACCTTTGTCCTACATAGTTTTTTAGGTTTTAAAAATTTAGTTACTAGCACCTAAAATTCAGAAATTTTAACAATAAAAGAAATAAGTTGGGGCTGGGGATTTAGCTCAG